TGAAGATAATAACACAGTATGAGAATGGAAAAACAGTAGCAACGATCTCACACGACCTAGGTTTCTCACACTCGACTATATCCACTATTCTGAAGGACAAGGAACGTATTCGTGAAGTAGTGAAAAGAACAACACCTATAAAGGGAACTATAATAACAAAGAAAAGACAAGGTCCTATCCACGATATGGAAAAATTATTGGTGATATGGATAGAAGACCAGATGCAGAAGCGTGTACCCTTAAGTGTTCTAACCATACAGGCTAAAGCAAGAAGCCTGTTCCAAAGCCTGAAGGAGCAGGCAGGAGATGAATGTGATCAAACCTTTACAGGAAGTCAAGGGTGGTTTGATAGATTTAAAAAACGCTACAGTCCACACAGTGTTAAGGTGAGTGGAGAGGCAGCTAGTGCTGATGTTGGTGCTGCTGAAGCTTTTAAGGAGGAGTTAGATGATGTGATTGTGGAAGGGAATTATTTGCCAGAGCAAATATTCAATGTGGATGAGACTGGATTATTGTGGAAACGCATGCCTGACCGGACATACATCCACAAAGAGGCAAAAAAAATGCCCGGATTCAAGGCATTCAAGGACAGAATTACACTTCTGTTGGGGGGGAATGTTGCTGGTTTCAAGCTAAAGCCCTTCATGATCTATCATTCAGAGAGCCCCAGGGCTTTTAAACATGTCAGCAAGCACACACTGCCAGTGTTTTATCGCAGTAACAAGAAAGCCTGGATGACCCTAGTACTATTTGAGGATTGGTTCATGACTTGTTTCATTCCACGAGCCAAGGAGTATTGTCTGCAACAAAGGATTCCATTCAAGATTTTACTGATTTTGGATAATGCTCCGGGACACCCACCACACCTGGACGACATGCACCCTGATGTTAAGGTAGTTTACATGCCACCTAACACTACCTCTATCATCCAACCCATGGATCAAGGTGCTATTTCTGCCTTTAAAGCGTATTATTTACGCACGACCTTCGCTCAGGCTGTTGCTGCTACTGAAGGTGAGAAAACGCTCAGACAGTTTTGGAAGGAGTACAACATTTTGTCATGTATAAAGAACATTAGTGCAGCATGGGATCAGGTTACAAAACATTGCATGAATGGAATATGGAAGAAAATCCTGAAAAGATATGTGAACAGTTTCAAAGGATTTAATGAAAGTGAAGTTATTTTGGATATTAGTAACAAGATAGTGGAGTTAGGTAAACAGCTGGAGTTAGAAATTGATACTGAAGATGTTGGACAGTTGGTTGAAAGTGTAGCAGAAGAGCTCAGTAACGATGATCTTATTGAACTAGATGCACAGAAAGTTGCAGAGGAAGAAGAGAGACAAAATGTAGAAGAAGAGCCTGCACCCCCCAAAAAGTTTTCAGTGAAACATATGGCAGAGGCATTTGCTACAATTAATAAAGGAATGCAAATGTTTGATGACATGGATCAAAATTATGAGCGTTATGCCAAAGTTGACAGAATGATCCAAGATGCACTTGCTTGCTACAGAAAAATTTAAAATGAAAAGAAAAAGAAAACTGTGCAGTCTAAATTGGACACCTATTTCAAGAAGTCCCCCAGTACTGGCTCCTCACGCCCCACCAGTGCTGCCTCTTCACTCCCTCAAGATGATCCAATACCTTCAACCAGCAAGTTACCACAGTACATAAACCTGTCTGAAGGAAGCGACATTGATGACCCACCCAGCCCTGTCTCCTCTTCTGCTTCTTCCAATTAATATAGTCTCCATGTATCCTGTAAATAGAAAATTATGGGGGCCCCGTGTGCATTCAGCTGACTACATTTAGGTGCCATATCCATTCCTCATTATTTTTTTACGTTTAGTGTGCATATTTCATTGTAGATTTTAAAAATTTGAAAAAAAAAATTTTGAAATTACTTTTGAAATTTTTTTTTAGTTTTTTTATCTATATCGGACTTACGACTGGATTTGGGTCCTAACACAATGTAAGTCGAGGTCTAAGTGTATATATATATATATATATATATATATATATATATATATATATATATATATATATATATATATATATATATATATATATATATATATATATATATATATATATATATAGCGCTTTCATAGCAGCGTTTACGCATCGCGATTGCCGCTGAACTTTCGCCGCGCGGGTTTCCACATATACAGCGGTGGTGAGTGTCCGGCTCGGATGCTATTTTTAGATTTTGACCACGCGCCACCTGCCCGCCTGCCTGCCTGCCTGCCTGCCTGCCTGCCTGCCTGCCTGCCTGCCTGCCTGCCTGCCTGCCTCTCCCTCCTCCTCCCTCCGCTTGGGCAAGCGGCGCGGTAAGGTTGCGCAGTGTGTGTCTTTGTTGCGTTATCACTGACGTCATATGACGTCTCGGACTGTGATTGGCCATGCAGCCCTACCCCCCTCTGCTGCTAGCTGTAATTGGCTTAAAGTATTATGACGTGACTACCCCGGGGAGGGAGGGAGGGAGGAGAGACGACGCTTGACCTAGCCGCGGCAGTTTCATCCCTCAAGGCCACGCCGGGTTAACGCGCATCCATTGTTCCGTAAAATGGCTTCCGCCGGACCACCACCCCCAGAGAGAAACCTTTCCTTACCTGGACCCAGCGGCACTAAACCAAAGAAGACACGACGTTCATTAAGCTACGAGCTGAAGTACCAAATTGTTCAAGATTTGGAGAAAGGAAGACGCCAAGTTGATCTCGCGCGCCAGCATGGCGTCAACGAATCTACGATTCGTACAATAAAGAAGGATGCAGCCAAGATAAAGGAGCACATGAAGATCACAAAGTCTGCAGGTGCTTCATCTATCAGGTATTGCCAGAACAGGGTGCTGGCAAAAGTGGAAACTTTGCTGGTGAGTTATTTGGTGCGTCAGGCGCGACGCAACATGGCGGTGGACACGCGCTCAGTGCAGGAGTACGCACGTGAGCTATACGCAGCAGTGACACGTAAACTGGGAATTGCAGAGCCCAAACCCTTCAATGCTTCCTCTGGTTGGCTGCATAGGTTTAAGAAGAGGAACAAGGTCACCAACATCAGCATTGGTGGTGAGGAAGCGAGTGCTGACCGTGCGGCGGCTAGAGATTTTCCTCCGTTTTTACGTGAGATTATGGAGGAAGGACAGTACACTGACGACCAGGTGTTTAACATGGACGAATCTGGTCTTTTCTGGAAAAAGTTACCTTCCAAGACCTTCGTTGTCCAGTCTGCGAGCAAGGTAAGGGGCCGGAAGATGCAGAAGGAACGCATCACCGTCCTGTTTACCACCAATGCCTCCGGTACCTGTAAACCAAAGTTATCGGTGATTCACAAAGCCCGCAAGCCGCACGCCTACAAGAATATGGACATGAACAAGCTTAATGTCCACTGGCTAACCGCACGTAAGGCGTGGATGTCCTCTTCTCTGTCCCTCTTCTGGTTTGACAACTGTTTTGTTCCTGACGTGCAGAAATTCTGCGAGCAACAGAATGTTCCTTTCAATATTTTGTTGCTCCTTGACAACGCACCTGGACACTCGCCCCTACTTATGGATCGTCACCCCAACGTAAAAGTGGTCTTCCTTCCTCCCAACACTACGTCATTAATCCAGCCCATGGACCAGGAGTTAATCTGCAATGTTAAAGCTGCATACTCGGCAAAGAAATTCAAGCTCCTGAACGACTCTACCAACACCAAGGATGAGTTGCGTAAGCTGGGTGACACCGACAGCGAGAGTAAAAGCGACGAGGACAAGGAACAAGAGGCGGCGACTCAAGAACTTCTCGTCAAACAATTTTGGAAGAAGTTTAACGTCAAACAAGCTGTAGACTTCTTGGTGGAGGCATGGGATCTGCTGACTATTGCTACGATTCGTCACGCATGGAGACATGTGTTGCATGGCATACCAGGTGAGAGGAGGAGTGAACCTGTGACTGGTCAGGTTCAGACTGTTGCAGTAGCAGTGGACCTTGCCAGAGAAGCTGCGCTCAGTATTACAGCTGAAGGCTTCTCCGAGACCACCAACGAAGACATCATGGAGGTGATCAGAGATCCTGAAGTGACTGCCGACGAGATGTTGGAAGAAGAACCCGCCAGTGAAGAGGAGGAAGAAGGTGCGTCATTCTCCGAAGAACCTAGTTTAAGTCATAGTGATATTAAGTGTCTCATAGAGTTAACAGAAAAAATTAAGTCCATCGTTTCCCGCGACACTGACGATGAACGCCATGACGTCTTCCATACCCGACTGGTGCAGGCTATGGAGCCGTACATCACGGTGTATCATGACAACATCAAAGCCAGCCGTCAGCAAAGCATAACCGAGTTCTTCGCCCGCAACCCACCACAGCCAGCCCAAGCCAGTGATAGTGATAGTGAAGTTGATTTTGAGGGATTTGTCAGGGAAGCCATGACAACTGTAAGTGACAGTGATATTGATTCACCTAGTAATGGTGATTCACCTAGTAATGGTGATTCACCTGAGGGGCAGTAATCTGCCCTCTGCCTCGGAACCAGCCTCCATCCCCGTATGCCGACCCATCTCTTCTACTACCGTGAGTGTTCCTCAAAAATTTTCGTTTTTTAACCTATTCTTTATTTTTCCTATGTTAACCTTTATCTTTCCTAACCTAACCTCTTCTATATTACTTGTTTTTCATGCCACCATAAAGTTAAGATAAAATTTTTACTACAACATAGTTATTTGTCGTCAAAAAGTGGAGTTTGGGGGTCGGGCTGGGTTCTATTGGAATTAATCCCATATGTTCTGTTGTTCATAGCGGTTTCACATCGGACTTGACCTGGATTTGGTTCCTAACCCGTCAAGTAGTCGAGATCAGATGATATATATATATATATATATATATATATATATATATATATATATATATATATATATATATATATATATATATATATATATATATATATATATATATATATATATATATATATATATATATTTATTTATATATTTATTATTTATTTCCTACAGGCAGCCACAAACAATGACGGTGATAGAGGTGTGAGTGTGTGTGAGGTGTGCCATCATGCAACAAGTAACCTGCGGCAGCACATGAGAGTCGCTCACCCTGGGTGTGCTCGTCCGTGGATGGCTGGAGTCTGTGGCACCCTCATTGGTTAGTTGAGGCTCTCTTACAAACTTTTATATCATAGTTTTCTCCGATCATTATTTTGGAAATTGTAGGTACATGAGCTAGACAATTAAAATAAGTAGTGAGAGACTTGTGTTGTACCGTCAGTCAGCCCTTACATAGTTTATGATGTTCAACTTGCTGAATGTACAGTTACTAGTTCATCTACCATGGCACAGTTACTAGTTCATCTACCATGGCACAGTTACTAGTTCATCTACCATGGCACAGTTACCAGTTCATCTACCATGGCACAGTTACCAGTTCATCTACCATGGCACAGTTACCAGTTCATCTACCATGGCACAGTTACTAGTTCATCTACCATGGCACAGTTACTAGTTCATCTACCATGGCACAGTTACTAGTTCATCTACCATGGCACAGTTACTAGTTCATCTACCATGCGCCAGCGTCAGGTCTACCAAGCAGCATTAGTTTATTTCATTCATGGCACAGTTACTTGGTTCATCTACCATGGTACAGTTGACAGTTCATCTACCATGGTACAGTTACTAGTTCATCTACCTGCGTTGGCCAGTGCTGACGTAGCCTGGCCCACCATGGTGGTACAGTTTGTCAGTTCCATCTACCGTTTTACGAAAGTTATTAGTTCATCTACCATGGTAATAGTTACTAGTTCATCTACCATACAGTTACTAGTTCATCTTACCATGCATAGTGTTACTAGTTCATTCAATTACGCTGCCATTAGTTCCATCTACCACATGCAGTTACTAGTTCATCTACCTTTACGAAGTTACTAGTTCATTCACCATAGCCAGTTACTAGTTCCATTCACCATGCATGAAAGTTATTAGTTCATCTACTGGCGGCACAGTTACTAGTTCATCTACACCATGGTACAGTTACGCTAGTTCATCTACCATGGCACAGTTACTAGTTCATCTACCATGGTACAGTTACTAGTTCATCTACCATGGCGCAGTTACTAGTTCATCTACCATGGCACAGTTACTAGTTCATCTACCATGGCACAGTTACTAGTTCATCTACCATGGCACAGTTACTAGTTCATCTACCATGGCACAGTTACTAGTTCATCTACCATGGCACAGTTACTAGTTCATCTACCATGGCACAGTTACTAGTTCATCTACCATGGCACAGTTACTAGTTCATCTACCATGGCGCAGTTACTAGTTCATCTACCATGGCACAGTTTTCATCTACCATGGCACAATTTGTAAAAGTTGTTATAATTTACAGGGGGGACGTATATTTTATGTGAGGTGTGTCAGGAGCAACACGTAGGAGGCAGTGGGGGTATGGGATTACCTCAAGGTGAGGCAGTTGAGGGCCAAGACCGCCTACGGGACTTGACCACTGTATTGGCTCCAGATTTGGCACCAGCTCCACTTGCCACCATGGAAGGTATGTTTACTAAGACCTTTTACTAACATCCATAACTTGACATTATGTTTTTTGGAAAAATAATTTAAATTTTATTGTCCTGTTTTATTATCTTATATGTGCTCGAGTTCTTAGACACTGGAAAGAACTTGAGATGCAGTTGACTCCGGTAGGTTACAGGGTTATGTTTCCTGTACTATCTTTAGCACTGATAAAGATCTTATGGGGGAAATTGGTTCAGTTTTAGACATTTCAAAATATTAATGAAAGAGATTCTTTATGAATAAACTCCTGGGAGTTTTGTGGAGGGATGGGGGGTAATATGGGTCAGTGATTAGGCCATAAACATTATAGAAGCAGTTGAACTAACTCCCTAAGTGTCACTTCCTCTCAGAGAATCTACAGGATGGCCTCAATGTCCTGCTCAGTGATGTCACTGAAGTCCTCATTGGGAATGTCCTGGTCAAGGATGACTACAGCGTATCTCCTGGATATATGACATGTGTTCTGGGGCCACAGTGAAGCTGCTCACAGGTGCAGGCCACACATGCCAGAAGTAATTGACAGTACTGGCATCTTGGCCATGGTCAGTACACACCATGTAGGGCCAAACTGTACTACAACAGGTGTGGCCATAATACACACCATGTAGGGCCAAACTGTACAACAACAGGTGTGGCCATAATGGGTATGGAAGTGTCAAGAGGTTATGAAGCAGAACCACACATACTAAATACTTATATAGTTAATAAATGTAACTTTATTTTATGTATCTCTGTGTCTTGCCTCTCTTTACTCTGTTTACAACATGACTTCTTTCAGATGATGGCCTGAGCATGAATGAAATAGACCTGAAATTGACAAACTATAATGTGATCGCTGCTCGTTTGGGCTTGACTGAAAGACGACCCATACCAGACCCGATGCCATTCCCTTGTGCTGATCCACTGGGAGCAACTACCTTGGGTTCCAGTATCTGTGAACCTCCTGACTCTGCTAGTGGTATGGTTATTATATGTCATGAAATAATAATAATAATACATATTAATTATTTTATTGTTACAGTACACTCGCAACTTATGCGGTTTCAACTATACGTGGATTACCCCGGGGGTTAGGTTACAGTTTCCAGTTTCAAACTAAAAATTTTCAAATTGGGTCATAAGCGCGCCAAACGCTAGCCTGCCAAACACTCCACCCTGCCATCCCACCTCTGTCTTCAGTTGCCGCGTGGGTATCATCGGAGCAACAGCTGCCTCTCGTGTGTGTCAATTTAGTGCTCTTAAACCTCTCTCATACTCGTTCATAATGCCCAACCACAAGCCAACCTCTCCCTCTGGTCCTCCAGCGAAGAAACAACGCTCTGTGATGACCCTGGAAGAAAAAGTTGCCGTGTTAGACTTAAAAAAAGGCGACGTCGGTCGCTGCTGTGGCACGGAGGTACAGACTCAACGAATTAAGCGTGAGGTCCATTAAGTTTCAGGTGAAGGAAATTCGTGAAACCTTGTATACAAGTGCCTCATTTACTGCTAAGTTGACTAGCCAGGTTAGAGATGTAACTTCTAAATACATATTGTGAAAAAAGTAAAATTAATAATTGTCCTCAGGGCAAAGCTCTACTGTACAGTCGGCCACAGGAATAAGTATACAGTACTGTACACACTGTAGTTGTAAGGTCTGAAAATGGTTTGGTAACGTTGAAACTGCGCATCCAGACGCATGATGAAACTCAGCTCCCCCCACCTGTTATCTCTAACTATTTTCTGTTTCTCCTTCTTTATTCTTCTATTTACTCCTCTTCCTCCCTTTACTAATGCAAACACCAGTATAAAATGGTAGGGTAAGAGAAAAAGTGGGGGAGGAGGAGGGAGCTGTACGATAACTGCAATCGCATTCGGCAACAAGTTTACTACCATTGGATACAATATACCACTTGCAATATAACACAAGACACTGGTAAAACATTCACAACAAATGTATTTATAACATATATGTAGGAATAAAACATAAATTACAGGTCATTTTGTCTGTTCTGTTCAGGACAGTGTTACCAGATATTTTGTCTCAAATACGAACCGTAGGTGTATACTTATTCTTGTGGCCGACTGTACATAAATAGTTACAACAAATTTTATGTCTAGTGCAAACTATAGCATGTTTATAGTCAAATTAATCACTATCTTACAAGAATTCCAGCAATGAAAGTTATATTCTCCCTGGCCAATTTAGTGACATTTTATAAGCGAAAAACTTAAACTTCTCTATATGACAGTTAAGACGCATGGGACTAATGTCCCCGCCTGCTGGTGAATACCTTCCCTTACCCCCCACTCCTCTCCCCTGCCTGACTGTCAACACATCACCTCTCCCTTCCCAGGGATGAAGGTAGTTTTAAGCTTAAAGTTTTTCTCATATAAAATGTTAGGAGAATATAACTTTCATTGATGGAATCCTTGCAAGATAGCAAATAATTTGAATGAAGATAATGCATACCTCAAATAAGGGATTGTGGACCTGTATTACATTACAGTTGTGATTTATGAGTTCTAGTGTATATGTACGTATATACATATACAGTAGTGATTTAAAGGCAATTTAGGGGATTTTTAGGAGTGTTTCTGACTTTACGTGCTTTTTGGCTTTTCGCGAGGTCCCAGGAACGTAACCCCCATGTAAGTCTACTGTATTATATTGTTATTTTTACTATATTTATTATTACATTTTTCTTTACAGAGGGTTATCACATACTGTACAGATACAGTGGTCCCTCGGTTAACGAACGGTTCGTTTAACGAAATTTCGGTTAATGAATTAGGTCCCATAAGGATCTTCAATTCGGTTAACGAACAAAACTTCTATTAACGAAATCCTTACGACAAACACGTTTTGTTGTAAGCATCATTTGATCAGCTGATCGGCTAGTCCGCCAATACAGTACAGTAGAAGTCAAGCCAAAACAGTACAGTAGAAGTCCGGACTGCTTGGGGGTTGGGTCGGTCCGGATTTTCGGATTTTCCGGATTCTCAGGCAGTACTTTTAAAATTCAAATTTAAGGAGGAATAAAGAAGAGATGAACAGGTACATTTTGATAGTTTATTCATTAGCAAATATAGCATGCTTCATTTATCAAAACGAGCAGTTTTAAAGAAAAAGCTGTGAATTTTAGAATTTTATTCTTTGCCTTTTTTATATCATAAATTGTAGACTTTCTAATGTCGTATGTTTCCATTAGATTAGTATTGCTCACACCACGTTCTAGTTTCTTAATTATTTCAAGTTTTTCACTCAATTTCAATGTGTTCTTCTTTCTCTTCACACAACGAAGTTTATCTACTTTAGGAGCCATTATTATGGGCTTGTACAGTACTCTGTAAATGGAAAGAGTAGGACTCAAAATTACATACGTTGTCACAGTTTGGTTGCTCGTTTTAAAGTGCCGACTGCGTAGTCGCTTGTTGTCGCTGTGCAGCTGTGGCGCTCACGCATGCGCACATACACACAAAAGCAAGCTAAAAAAAAAAAGTGAGTTTTCGAAAAGTCTGGATTCTCGGGTGGTCCGGATTTCTGGCATCCGGATTTTTGGACTTTTACTGAAATCAGTTCTATGTTTACATTTGTTTCCAGTGGAGTAAATATCAAGAAGGTTGTGTTCTTGAATATTTTTGCATTTTTTATATTAAAATTATTGGTCATTCTGAAATTTAGCCATCCAAGCTCTGTTTACATAAAGTTTTTCAACTACAGTATTACCCCGCTTAACGCGCTTTCACTTAACGCGTTTTCGCATATACGCGGTGCCTTGCCAAAGCTGAACTTTCACTTAACGCGGATTTTTCCACAGCAACGCGGTGAGTGTCCGGCTCGAGAGCTATTTTTAGATTCGCACCACCCCCCACCCGCCACCCTGCCTGACTGCCTGTTTTAGCTCATAAAATTCATACAAATTACCCAGCCAGAATATAATTTACATTGCTGGAATTCTTATAATTTGGTGATCATTTTGAATATAAACAACATATATTTTGCATTAAACATACAATTTTTAGATAAAAATTGTTCTCTAGGTAATTATGTTATCTTTTGTCCAAAATATATGACATTTATATTCAAAATATTCCTGGTCTTACAAGGAATCCAGCAATGTCAATTATATTATCCTAACTTTAGTTTGAGGTATTATTTATTAAAATTTAGTGGTTATCCCACACATCTCCTTGGGACGGTTGGTGGGGGGTGGGGGGGAGGGAGGGACCGACCGACCGACCATCTGTTACCCGGTGAAGAATTATTTTTTTTTTTAACTGAAGATATTTGTTTTAGCTCATAAAATTCATACAAATTACCCGGTCAGAATATAATTTACATTGCTGGAATTCTTATAATTTGGTGATCATTTTGAATATAAACAACATATATTTTGCATTAAACATACAATTTTTAGATAAAAATTGTTCTCTAGGTAATTATGTTATCTTTTGTCCAAAATATATGACATTTATATTCAAAATATTCCTGGTCTTACAAGGAATCCAGCAATGTCAATTATATTATCCTAACTTTAATCTGAGGTATTATTTAATACTAAATGTTAAAAACTCTTGAATGGAGGATTGGTGGGGGTGGAGGGAGGGTTGGGACTGACCGAGCGGTTGGAAGACGGGGGGAGGCAAGGTGGGGTACTTTGATTGACAGATAGTGTTGAAGAATATTTTTTTTTTTTTATTAACTGTAGATATTTGTTTTAGCTCATAAAATTCATACAAATTATCCGGCCAGAATATAATTTACATTGCTGGAATTCTTATAATTTGGTGATCATTTTGAATATAAACAACATATATTTTGCATTAAACATACAATTTTTAGATAAAAATTGTTCTCTAGGTAATTATGTTATCTTTTGTGAAAAATATATGACATTTATATTCAAAATATTCCTGGTCTTACAAGGAATCCAGCAATGTCAATTATATTATCCTAACTTTAGTTTGAGGAATTATTTATTACTATACCTGGTTTTCCCCCAAAAATTTCTCAGAGGGAAGAGCCAGTGAGTGTAGTGTGAGAAGAGGGGGAGGGAGTTGAGTCCATTATTTGAATGGACATTAACTTGGCGACTGTATTTCTCTATTTCTCTTAAGTATTAATTGTGTGCATGTACCATCATAAAATTAAGATGTTATTTTTACTACAACATAGTTATTTGTCGTCAAAAAGTGGAGTTTGGGGGTCGGGCTGGGTTCTATTGGAATTAATCCCATATGTTCTGTTATTCACTTAACGCGGTTTTCACTTAACGCGGGACCCTCTGGGTTCAATTGACCGCGTTAAGTGGGGTACAACTGTATTATTTTTGGCTCGATATATGTAACTTTATTCATTTATTGAAACTCATTTACATGCACACACTATCCTAAGGGCAAAGCTGTACTGTACTTGTAATCAAAATAATGTACAAAATGATAACTAAAATTTTTGTCTAGTGCAAACTATTGCATGTTTACATTCAAATTAATCACTATCTTATAAGGATTCCAGCAATGTAAATTATATTCTCCCCGGTCACTTCTATGACATTTTATAAGCAAAAAACAAAAACTAAATCTAAAGGACATAAATAAACAAATAAATACTTCACTAGACCTTTGGCGCAAACTGTTAAACATGTCACTGTCACCCCTCCCTCCCTCCTTCCCCCCCACCCTCCCAGCCAGGGTTTGGTGGTTATACAGTAGGCTTACAGTTTTTATCTTATATAATATCACAGACTAAACTTAGGAGAATATAATTTGCATTGCTGGAATCCTTGCATGACAGCGAATAATTTGAATATAAACGTCATATTTTGCACAAGATATAAAAATTAATCACCTGTATCACATTACAGTAGTGATTTAAGAGGAAGAGTGTATATGAGACGTCTAGCGTAGGAGGGACGAACTCGCCAATCCCCCCAAAATCTGTTTTCTATGGTTTTGGAATTTTCCAGACTTTATCTTTCC